AATCTGACAACATACGGTGTTCTTCAGCCATAAATCTCTGTAAAGCTTGTGAATCTAAAATGCACTCTCTGCCGTTGGAAAGAACTGTCCAACAACCTTCAGAATTTGAATTTTTGCTAGGATTAAAGCTTTGAATAACGCAGCGAATCCTGCTTGATGGCTTAACATTCGATTCTTTGCACCACTTCCTTCCCCAATAACTGGCTGGTATATCGATGGCCTTACCAACATAGCTTTCACCATTAATAATTAGATATGGATGATTTTGTTGCATGGTATTAAATTAGTAACTGAAATCAAATTTGGGGCTAAAGTATCAACTTTTAATTGAAATAAAGATGATCAATCGTTTGCCTGAGTAGTGTCTTGATATTAATATTCATTTACATCCGTTATTGATAGTAATCAATAGAGTCTGCATTAGTACGTCCTGTCTACTAAGATAAGTGGCTATCTTCCTACTTATTGGTCATTCTAATTATCAGGAAAGGCGTAATTTTTAAGTAAAGGAAGAACAATCGTAATAAGTTTGATTTCAATTCACACAGTTTGCATTCTTGGCATTAGTTTATTCTAAAGTATTGCACTGTCACTAGAAAAAAATGTTAAATAAAAAAATATGCTGAAAGCGTTTACATTCTACCAACGTTGGTATGATAAACATTTAATTTACATATAATATAAGCAAACTACAAAATGAGCATTAACTAGTAATAACTACCAAAGAATTAATTATATCTTACATTATTCATACGTGAGTACTTAAGTTTGTGTTGGGTAAGGAAATTATTACGTTGTTTACAGTTTAATCTATATAGTGCAATGCACTGCTAACAATATCAATCTTACGGTGTTACAGTAGCTATGCCATCATTAGTTTAGCTATAATTTTGGGTTATGTGTATATTAAAAATTTCGAAATATCATTTTTTATTTAAATATATAACAGGTTACTAACGCAAAAATATGTTACAATTTGAAAAATATATTCTGTAGCTGTGATCAAATACAATTATATGCAAGCTAAACTCATACTTTAGCAACCTACGTATTATAATCCTCGTTATGTTTTAGATTTGGTTGGGCTATTAATTAAATTTCGTAGAAATATACTTTTTTTTCAACCAACCGTACTATATATTCTAAAAATATATTTAAATCTTGAATATAAACATGAAGGTTGTCCAATTCACGCAGTATGTCATGTTATAACCACTTTTTTATTACAAGTATTTATGTAGTAACACCTTGATTTGTTTCTGTTGGGCACCGTAATGGATATTTAGCATAATGCTCACATTGTCTGCGGATATGCTAGCAGCTTCGACTATGTTCTACAGTATAATTTCTGTAAATCAAAACCTTCTGGTTAGCAATTTACTTCAACATGTCCTACTTTGAGATACTACAATAACTTCTAATCAAAACCTATGTCTAATACTAGTAAGAATGATGTCATTAGGTAACAAGCGAGCTACAATAGTCATGAATGAGAGAGTAATCTTTTCAATCCCAGCTTCAGTCCATTTAACTTCCAAAAGCGTAAACTAGATCTTAATGATTACTTTAATATACAGTTGTTTCGGCGATAAAGAGAAGAGAATTAGGCTATTGAATCGTGTCAAAGATAACAAATTATCATAGAGAAAATTTTACCTTCACGTTAAATTTAAAATAAAGGCAACAAATATTTAATCCTAGAATGCAATAAATAGCCTGAGTAAACATCCGCATACTCAAAGCGTTCATTCTTAATTGTTATAATTACCTTTGCAGCGAATGCGTTCACACGATAATCTCCCATAGTTTATTCCCCTAATTGTAGTAAAGACAAGTCATAAATGAAAGGAAAATTCTTAGCGTCTTTAGGACTTTCAGAATTGCAATCAATATATTCTCAACTTTCTAAGAACTGTTTCAATTGCCAATTTATTGACATTGAGATTAAAGCTTCGTCAATTTTTTTTCGATAATAAAAGTTGTATCGAATAAAATCTTAAGGAAAAGCTTTACCAAAGATTTATAAATTAAATATAGTATTATACTTTTAAAAACTAAATCAGCATTAATCATGCTTATTCTATCATTTTATGTGGCTCAGCTTGCTTGTATAAGATTATTAAGTAAAGTAAGAAAATAATTCTGAACTGGCAATTAATCTAAATTTATCACCAATGGTCACGATCCTTAAAATTGAAAAGACAGTTATTTATAGGACTTGAGCGACTTAATATGAACATAGCTTTTGCTCTATGTACTTGAAGAATTAATTTACAATCTATCATAAAAGATCAACCAGTATTTGTATCGTATGTCATGAATTTTTGCATTTTTACATTTTGGTCTGCAGGTTATCGTCGTAAAATTATTTTTATCGGTAGAAAACCCGTAGTTTTAATATATATTTCCAATACATAGACTGAATAGCAGTTGTGCATTGTCATCTTACGGTCTCAATTATTAAAAACAACGAATAATTATTTGTATGGCATTAAATGTCTGCTTTGATTAGAAGATTAACACAATGTAAAGTTTAATAAAGATGAAGGATGACCAATTATTCTAAACAACAGCTGTGCACTAAGTAATGATATTCTCTTTCGCGCCACTATCTCGCTTAAATAAGGTTATTCAAATAATATACTTTTCGAATTAGTTAATAAATTATATAAATTATCTATAGGATTATGACTGCGGGTAAGATATGGACTGGATTAGATAATCGTAATTATCTCTTACCCTATGATAGTAAGCGAATATCATGACTTGTACGATGCTAATTGTCAGGTATAATTTATTACGTTACGGCTAATTCAAGAATGTTAAATCTTAACTTATGGATGAAATCAGATACGTATTATCAAAATAGCTTTAATTTCTTAGCAAACATTTTTTAATTCTTTATTATATAACATACACATAGAGTATATATTGAACCCATTCTAAAATGCAATTTACCTTTCATTGGTGTAAATACCCAAGAACGATAGTTTCTTAATCAAAGGAAAGCACGATTGTCTTTAAGGATTTAATAAATACAGTCTATGTGTTCTAATAGATGAAAGTTTGCATATGTGAGTGGCTAGTGATATGATTTTGAATCTATTATAATTATACTCTATTTCTAGATGACGATTTTAACCGATGGATTCATAATTATATCAAGCCAGGACTGCTACTGTCGTGAGATTTTGGGCAGAGAGTCCTGACCTTAAAAGGGTTATTACTATACTGTACCAGATTGAAATTAAGAAAAATAAATTAATACAAATGAACAGGTTTTAATTCCCTTCAAATCTTAATTTCTAGTCTACAACTACTCTATATTTTTTTACTCGCGGATAAAGAAGCATGAATGCAGCCCTTAAGAACTAGGGTATAATCGTACCTTTTTATAATACTTATTACATTTAAATGAATTTGTTTATTTTCGCGCTACTTTTGACTCAATTCCTTTTAAATCTATTTAAGCCGGTATTTCTATTAGATCAGTATCTGGCACAAGAATAAATTATAAATTTATGATAACTATAAAGGCTAAAGTGATGTACATGAATAAATAGAAATTTTTGCATTTGCCTCATCACAGTTCGATGCAGAGATGGCCAAAGTTATAAAGTATAAAACTTGCTGCAGCCATGATATTAGAAGCCATTAACACTAGTGATTAATTTGAAAGGTTTCTTCTTAACGCTATTTCAAGCAATCCTATATCATGGTACGCAGTAGTAATCCATATAAGAGCGATATTGTAACGATTAATTCTCATTTTAGAGTAGTAATCATTAAAATAAGCTGTGAAAACGCTTCAAGGGTGCAAGAGAATGCTAAAGTTATTTTATTTTGACTGTATATAAAGAACAATATTGCGACAGACGGCTTAGAGTTATTGCATAGTACATAGTAGCTAGAGATGCTTAGAAATAATTGAATAATATAATCAATAAATAATTGGATATGACTATAATCGTCTAGGCTAGCATAGGAAAATGAATAATAATTTCGAAGACAAAAGTTTTAGACAATCCATTAATTTACAACAGTCCTGTGTCATTGAGGAATCTTGCCTTACGAATATTTTCAATCGTTGACAACATTTATTATTTGTTGAACAACAAAGAATTTGTGAAGTAAATCATCTTTACAAACTGAATCTTGTCATTCAACTTTAGCTTTACAAATATTTTATGATAGCATCAACAATAGTGTTAAGAAAAAATGATAGATTTGAACTCTCTTGCATGATGCTTTGTATGAACATAAAGTTTTTCTAACTTAGAGAACTTTAAATAAAATGGTTAAATAGTACACGTAATTATATTGCAGACTAAATCATTCTGCCTATTTCCATCGTAATACTGATTATGCTATACGAGTATCTTTCAATTTAATAGAGAGAATGATATTAGAGTAAAGTCGGATTAAATCATTTTCGCTGTTTCCATCATATTACTGATTTTTACCATTTGAGTAGCTTTCAATTTAATGAAAATGAGTAATATTGAAGTAAAGTTGGATTAAATAATTTAGGCTATCGGCATCATAGCAGTGATTTTGCTACTCGAGTATCTTTCAATTTAATGGAGTGAACGATATTAGAGTAAAGTCGGATTAAATCATTTAGGCTATTTCCATCGTACAGCAACACTGATTTTACTTTTCGAATATCTTTCAGCTTAATAGAGAGAATGGCATTAGAATAAAGATGAATTGAATTCAAAACTCTTTCGTCTGCATGTAGCTTTAAATCTATAACTCAGGCGTAGTTCCATCGGAGCATTCGAATAAAATCAATGGCCTTTTGTCGCATTGAAGTGAAAAACTATTCCTTCTTTACTTAAAGATCAGTTCTTCTGACAGTCATGACAATGAATTATTTATAAGGTAACAATAAGAGAAGAAACTTTCCTCCCAAACTATTGTTATCCAAAGTCAATAAAACCAGAAATCATTCCAGATCTTCCTTCTATTCTACCATATAATCAGGTTAATTGGCGACTATGAGTGAAATTTTACCTAAAGATCTCCTAGCCAGAATATTTGGCTATTTAAAAGGTTGGGAATTAGCCACGATATCAACCGTTTGCCATTACTATAATAGCGTTATTCATGATGGCGACGATAAAAATGATAGTAAAAGTAATTTATTATGGAAATTAATCGTTAGTCAAGAATTAACAACGGCAGCAAGGCTGCAATCAAAGGAAAATTATCGTCAATTTTATAAACGAATTTATCTTGGCCCTAGAAAAATGATTGTAGACCACTGCCATATTGGTAATTTACATTCAACGGTCAAAACATGTATGAAAGAAAAGCCTAAGTTTAATTATTCTTACTATGCTAGTCGAATACGGCGCGATCGCCATGGTGATGTTGTTCATTATTTCGATATTATTCTTTCCTACGCTGCACGATTTGGTCTAGAAGTTTTAGGTAGAAATGTCTTACAATTAATGGCGTCTTCGCTAGATCAACAATCGATCAAGAAACGATTTCAAAGTCACTATAGCCACACTATTTTACCAATTGTTGTTGCTGCTGATAATGGCCATTACCATTTTATTCGTATGCTACTCGACGACGGTTGTCGATTATGTGGTCCTTGTGTTTTCCAATGGATACGCCGAGGACCAGCTTATTGGATTGAAGAAAGATTTGTTATTTTTCTACTCA